CTAGAATCAGTCCCAGAAGAAGAAAAGGGCTGCTTCCTACAGAAAACTTCTATATCACAGAAAATATGTGGACCGAATAATAAGATATCTCATAAATTTCCTGTAAGCAATTTTGATTCTGCAAAGATTTTGAAAATTTGATATTGGTAATGCTCTCTAATTAAATAAGTTATGAAAGAAATGAATATTTATCTGATTAGCGAAGTTTTATTCTAAATCATGGTTTTATTGAAAGCATACTCATGAGATTGTTTTGTGTAATTAAACATTATGGGCTATGTACCATAGAAATATTAAGCTAACAGTGCCAATAACAGAGTTGAGTTGAGCCCCTCTCTTTAAAGCCACTGCCATTAAAATCAATTCCATGAAGTACCTTGATTCATATTTCAGTCGCATAGAATAATAAATTATAAAGCTGAATATAGGGGTGTTGATCATAAGAGAAGACCCTTATTACGTCTTTCTGATGAAATCAAACAACAGGTACATATTTTGTTTTTAGATAAAAAAGTTTCTTTGTGTATTTTTTCACTCTTTTGAATGAAGTTAATTTGAGAAAACTAGTTAATTACAATATTGCCTTAATTCTTCAACTTAAATGTGTTTGTTCTGTTGAATTTCACCATTTCATAAATATTCATTTATGACGTGACATCATGCTTAGGAGGAAAATCGTGTCTTCAATTAAATGTTGTCTATTTAGAATTAAACCAAATTTTAGTTCCGTTTTTTATCAGCTTTTATTTTTAACTTCAGTTAATGACTACCCTCTTGAACAATCATCAAATAAACTTTTTGACCTAACTTAATGATTTCTACTTTGACCAATCAAATTGCTACCCTCTCCAACGCTGGCATTTTTTGATGCTGTGTTTATCAAGTTAAATCAAGAGGTTAATTTGAAGAACATTGAAGAGGGATGTATTAAAAGTAAAAGCTAATAAAAATAGGAACGAAAGTTTAACTAAGAGGTAAAACATATAGAATTATTCTACAAATCTGATTTAATTCTTAATTCTTGTTTTCAGATAATAAACTTTCTGATTGCTCGGATTGGTTATGAATTTTGTGGTGAAGATCTACCTATAAACTTTCATCCTGATAATCAAACATTGTCAGAACAACGTGACTTTCTGTCTCAACGCTGTCAAAATGTTCATGGGCGTAGTGATGTGGTTAAAAAAATAGAGGACTATATTCTACGAGATGAAAAAGATGTGCCATTACTGTTATTAGGTACACCAGGAAGTGGTAAAACGTCTATTATGTGTAAAGCTGTTGAAGTAGTAATACAGAACCTGACTGAACACCACCAAGCAAGGTCTGTATAGATTACACCCAAGAGAGATATATTCTATAATGAGTTAGTACAGAGTACAAATACATTGGCTACACTTATTATTTCATTTATGGCTTCATATTTTCCAATCTATCAAAACATACCTGACCCCCTTATTCACTAAAATTCTTACGATAATAAATATTGATGTAAGTTACGACCTATTGATATCAAAGCATTCGATGTTTTTCACATTCTCCTTGCATAATTTTCCTCAGTTTTTTATTTTGACCTTTAAATTTTTTGAATAGCGTAAGTTAAGATGACGTCGTAAATGTCAAGGTGACGTTATTTCCAGCTTGAAGATCTTAGCACCATTTTACGGAAAAGTTCACCAATATTCATCACCATATTATATGTTTTTTCACATTTTCAGTTTTTGAATATTGACTTTTTCATGAGTTATGATTTTTTTCGTAGAAGTGAAGGTAAACCATGGCATGTTTTCTACCATTTTGTTGGTGCTGTACCAGGATCAACTAGTTTGGAACCTATGTTGAAGAGATTACTAAGGGAAATGGAAGTTGTTAAGGTATGCTTATAAGACACATAGAAACAGGCATTTGTAAAGAAGCACAAGATATATGGATATACTATTTCTGACAATAATAAACTCATTTCTTTTGATATAATTGCCTGTATGAGCATCTGAAATTATTGTTATTATTTTATTGTTTGAAATAGTATATTCTTATATCTTGTGCTTTTTTTGTGCTTTTTTTATCAATGCATATTTTGAAAATTAAATTTTTCACTGATAATTTCTTAATTGTGAATCCTACTAACAAATATTTGATCCTTTGGTGTTAAATAAGTAAATATGTGGAATGCAAAGCTTTTTTAATCTGTTCTGTCATTTTGACGAAGAAAAAGTGTTTATGTCTTTGTGCTGGCTATATACAATATTGCTGATATTAAAAATCCATACAAACAAAACAATTCCGTTCAGTGTTATTCCACCGAGATGAATTTTCAATGTGTATGGTATACCCTTTTCTTTGCAGGATTCTAACATGCCAAAAGATTTAGATACCACAGCTCAGATGTGTTGTAGTATGTTATCAAATCCTAATACCAAACCTGTAGTTATATTTATAGATGCTATCAACCAAGTAAGCAATATTTCATAACTGATCTATGATTGAATTTTTGAATCCTGGCACTGAAAAAAAATCTGTTGACTGTTAATAGCAAAATAAAGTTTTATTGATCAGATGTCAAAAGTCATTAAAGAAAATTTCTCTGTTTGAATGGATTGTTAAGAAACCAAAGTGGATTTTTTAGTTTTGCATAACACAGAAAATACTAATGGTAGTACATGATCATATAATTGAAAAGAATGGGTGGTTTATGTATGTCTTTTTTATGTTTAAAGATAAAAGAAGATAAGGAAGCAAGAGTCATCAGTTGGATACCTAGAAAGTTAGCACCAGAAGTTCGAATTATAATATCTACTATTAATAACACATTTCATCATAAGTCTATGATGAGTAGAGAAACTAAGCCAATAGAATTAAATATTAAACCTTTAGATCATCTGTCAAGGAAGGTAAATCTTGATCAAGAGACAATTTTATCTATTCTAAATATTGAATCGGGATGAATTAACTATATTGTATTGACACATTTTGATAACATAATGCAAAATTAAATTAATTTGATTAATGATAGGTTAATAAATGAATCACAGCTTCATCATCTATATTCCATTGCCTGCTGGCATTCACTAAGCTGTTAATTGTCAAATTTAATGGATTCTTTATGTGATCATGAACACAGTTTTACAAATCCACGACATCATCAAAATAGCTTTGTTATCTTGTAAGGAATCTCAAACTCAACTTCATGACATGTAATAAGCAGGTCGTGGAATATTTATGATTTGACAGATTTTATTAGAATAATAATTGTACATTTCAAAGCTGGCTAAAATGGTGACAACATAAGTCCTTAAAATATTTTCCTTAGAATAGTTAAAAAGGCCTGGAATTACAGGTAAATGATGGAATTTTAATATGTGATTGATTTTGTAGGAAATAATTAAAGATATATTAAGAAGATATAACAAAAGTTTAACAGAAAGACAGATAAATAGATTTCTACGTAAAGCATCCAGTGATAATCCTCTATGGTTATCTATAGCTTGTGAAGAGTTACAATTAGTCAATGACATAGATCTTATTGATGATAAAATAGAAAGTCTTCCTGATGGACTTGTCAAGTAAGTTAAGTAACATGTCTCTCACTAGAGTCCAATCAGCTTAACTATAAGGGTAGTCCTCCAAATCCTGTGCAGAGAGTAATGTTAGATTTCTACAATGTGTCTTGACTAGCTTTGACACTACTGAACAAGATTATTGCTCAATAGCCTTGAAGTCAAGAATTTCCTTTCAAAGTTTAGTCAACTACAATAGTTGTTCATATGGAAAAGAATAGATGAATCAATGCTTTCACTTTAGTTAAAAAGAAAATGTGAGTATAAATAATATCACCTGAAATGATGTTTGTTTGTAGTATATTAGAAGAGTTATTGACCAGATTAGAGCAATGTGAACATGGCCAATTATTGGTAGCTACATTATGTTTATTGGAGGCATCTGTATCAGGCTTGTTGGAATCAGAATTAAGATTTATACTTGGTGATACTGACAGTTTGACTCCTCCTTCACCATATGATGAAAAAGGTATGTAGGCAACTTTTCTGTTTACAATAACATTATTATGTATTTAATATTCTTAAGTCTGCTTTCTTAATACAATATGCACACATGAACTTTTATAACTCAGCAGGTAAAAAAATATTCATTTTTTCAGAGATACTGTCATTACCTAATACATGATATTGTTATATTTCTTCTAGATGAAAAAGAGTGTTCTGAAAAGGAGAAAGCTAAGAAATGTGGTCCTTTATCTGATAAAAAGTGGATATTTGTATTTACCACACTAAAGCCATTTTTACGCCCTTATGGTGACAGTAAAGATGGTAGATTAGATTTTTATCATAGAGCTTTAAGCAAAGCTGTCAGAAAAAAGTAAGTAAAAAAATATGTCACTGTTCAATTTAACCTGTTGACACTAAGTATTCATTGAATAAGGTACATATTGTAGATATAACTCTTAAAATAATGAAATATTTGAAAATGGAAAAGTCTCATAGATTTTAAGTTGATAAAATGTTCACAATGATTTGTTTATTGTAGATATTTCTGTAAGAAAGATAGAAGTGAAGATGTTGATGTAGATGAAGTTGATACTGATATACCAGATGTGGAGAGTTGGTGGCATTTAATGTTAGCAGATTACTTTGAAAAATCAAATAAAATAGATCGTATTGTTGAGGTTAGTTTTCAAACTGAACTGTATAATATAACAAGTGAATTAAAGAATTAAAGATTGACTGAAGGAAAGTCAAAGAACACAGAGGGTATTGTTATCTGTAATCTTTCTACTGAGTGAATTACAGAATGAAAGAGTGACTGAAAGAAAGTAAAAAAACATAGATCATTTTGTTGAGGTTTGTTGTGTTTATTGAGTGAGTTAAAGTCTAAATACCAAGCACCAAAACATTGTTGAGAGAAAGGTTAAATTAAGGCTCAACAGAAACCCAATTAGTGGGTAGACTTTGATGCTTTATTAATTTTTGATTAGGAAACAGCCTTAAGGAGACATTTTCACCCTTAACGTACTCTTTATAAAAATGGAAAGTTATAACTATCCGTTTCCCCATCTCAGTGTGCCTGCTTTTTTCCTTCATTTTTATATGTCTATTGATTTGATAGACTTATATGGTCCACTGTAATATTTCTTATACACTAACTATTTTTTACATTGACATACAGGAGTACCCATACCATCTGGTTGAATTAAAAGATAAATATAGATTAGCACAGTGTTTGTGTGATTGGAAAGTCTTTGATAAACTTTATAATGAAGAATTTAGTTCTGTTTTATTGGCCCACTGGAGAGCAGTAAGTTTGTCTATTGAATATTTTAATTGGTACACATTGTATTTTGATGTTTTGAAGAGAAATCTGTCATACGTATACATTATAGCTCATATTATTTTTAACATGTTAACAATTTTTCCTGAAATGTATTGATATTATGTGTCTTTGAACGCTGGTCACAAATCCCTGAGTCTTTAAACCTAATAACTGATATTTTAATATTAATATTCTTGTTGTTAGGTTGGACCAACAAGTGAAATGCTTAGTCACTACGAAAGAGAACTAAAGTCATTTGAACGTGATGAAAATATCAATGAAGAAGCCGTTTCTATGAGATATGAAAAAGTTTGTCGAGTAGTGTATGTATAAATTTATATATTTTTACAACAATTACAATTCAACAATTCAATTTGATACTGACTGTTGTTAATTCTTTCACATGCAGTCATACACAATATTATCACATCATTGATGAAGTTGTGTATTAAATTTTTGATAAATTTTCATTGCCATTTTAGGATACAATCTGGTAAGCATCATGAAGCATTAGAATTATTAAAAACAGCAATGAAAATAGAAGAAAGAGAATTAGGTGCTAGACCACATCGAATGGTGGAATTGTTTGCTTTAATGGCAGAAATTTATGATGAGGTGAATCTTTTTATGACAGTCCTTGAGCATCATATTCTGATTTAGTTTGGGTTCAAACTTTTGATTTCTGTCATGTTTTAAATTCTTATTTTACTAAAAGGCTTCTTTGCAGATTAGTGGGCTACACTGTTTTAACATTACATTATTTACTGTGTTAATTGAAATAAGTTTTCTGCCATCATAATGAAATTTAATATACTTCCTTGTGAAAAACGTAATGTGGTATTATGCTTAACATTAGTGTAATGAACACAGCATTTAAAAAGTTACTTAGTAGGATGTAATGTACATTGCCTCAGTGGCAAGTTTGAAGAATATCATTGTGTTTTTCAGAAATTAAAGATGAATGATTTTGTATCACCATGTCAGTTACCTGATCTAAGAAAGACTATTTATTATGGTCGTAAATCCATCTGTTTAAGAAGAACACTACCTGGTCCTTATCATAAGGTAAAACAGTCCTGAAAATTAACATTGATTTGGGTTTGATTTATATTTCGACTGTGTTTACAAGAAACTGTGAATATAAGTTGAAACAAAGTACTGGTAGATATGGCATTTCTTTTTAGTAACTGTCTTTTGCCAATGTTACATTCCAGTGCATGTCTTAAAGTCATTTAAAATTATCCTGACAACATGTGAAGCCATTTGACAAAACAAGGCTCTGGTGACTATTTATCCTATTTATCTAAAATTTAATCATTGTTTACAGTTTAAGGTGGCTATGAGTTTGATGAAATTGGCCTTTAATATGGAGAGTTGGGAAGCATGTGGTGGAGCTCCTGAATTAAGTGATGAAGATGCTTTAATAGAAGGCAATAAATACATTGATAAAGCTCTTAAAATATTTCAGGAGGTTTGTACATTACTTCTTTAAGTAAGTTCTTCTAAAAGCCAGATCCATATATGGAAATAATATTTACGATACAATGCATTTCATATATTCCATATTGGATTTAGTTTTACATATTAACCTGTTGATTTTCAGTTAAATGATATGGGACACTATGCTGAAGCTCTGATGACAAAAGGTGTTTTAGCTACCAGAGGAAGTATGGAACAGTTAAAGGTATAAATTATACATCAGTTGTAATTTATGTAAAGCAAATAACAGGCAGACCAAAATTGATCTGTTCTTTAGATGGATTTGGAAAAGAATTCTACTAAGATGTGAATTATTAACTGATGAACCTGCAGTGGACATTTACCACCGCTCCCTCAGATAGTAGTTTTGCTTCAATGGTTCTTATTTTTTTTCTTTTATATTCCTTGCATTTTCAGTGGTACAATGAAGCTATGGACTTATGTATGCAGATGTATGGTGAATATCATATTTTAACTTCAAGATTATACATCAACATTGGTATAGTGTATGAAGACAATGACAACTATAACAAAGCATATGAGTACTTCAAGAAATGGGCTAGGGTTAGTGAGGAAATTCTGGGCCCAGATCATCCTAAAACTCAACGTGCCAAAGGTGTTCTGAGAGAAACTCGATACAAACGTATTGCTCAACAACAAGGGGAGTGGGAAGAAGAGGAATCATCCTCAGATTCTGAAGAAAGTGGTGAAGAGGTGGAAAATCCTGATATAGAGCATAATTATGACGACAGTGTCAGTCATGTGGACATGGTCAATAATATTGCTATTGATCAATCCATGAATTCAGTAGCGTCTGCCAGCGTGTTTCAAGATTCCAATCAGTCTGCTAGTGAAGGAGATATACAAGGCTTGTCTGGTGATAACGCTAATGAAGGATACAGTGGGGACCCTTATGAAGAAGATGGAGAAGAATCTGTTGATGAGGAACATACTGATAGTGAGAATTTCTATGATGATAATTTTGAGGCGTATAATGAACATTACGCTCTACATGCTGCTGTTGGTCCAGTGATTGAGGAGTTCAATTTACATCTTGATGATGATGATGAAGATGATTATGAAATTGTGGAACTTGCCTCAACAGAAACAGACGACACAGATGTTCAATTTGCTGGTATAATTGATGGACTGAATGATAATCGTTTTGATGATGGAGGTGCGATAGAATCAGATGAAATTGGTAACGAGTGTCGATATATAAATAGTAGTGTATTACAACCTAGTATACCTGGTCGCAGATTCAGTGAAAATTTAAGTCTTTTATCAATTGAGGCATCTGATAACAGATTTAGTGATTCAAGTGAGGACAGCAACAGAGCTGTAAATAATAATTCTGTGATGACATCTCATACTACAGTACAAACCGCTGACGGAAATACTGTTGCAGAATTTTCTGCAGCTAGTACAAACTCCTCTACTCAAGGTTCTAATAATTCAAATAGACAACCCTATACAAATCTCAGTATATGAATTCTTTTTCAAAATGTGCTTCAATGCAATGCATTTACATGTTCAACTAGTGGTATCTTTAAGATGTTCTTAGAAAATACATAAATGAGAGGTTAAATTTCGTATGAATTTTAAAAAGGATATAGTTGCTTTACTAGCTGATAGAACTTGAATTAGGCTATTGTAATAACTTTTCAAAATGAAAAGCTGATTACCTGTTAATTTACACGTAAAACAAAAACTATTTTAATTAAGACTAACTAAATGATGACATGAAGACTTTTATTATTTTCAATGTTTTGGATGTCAATACCAATGATGTGCTATCTTTCCTATATTCTTTATTTGATTGCTTTTGGACATTGGACTTTAATTCAGTGGGCACTTTGGATGCAGAAGTTATCCATTTAAAATTTTAATCAAGATTAGCTGATAGAACTTGAATTAGGCTATTGTAATAACTTTTCAAAATGAAAAGCTGATTACCTGTTAATTTACACGTAAAACAAAAACTATTTTAATTAAGACTAACTAAATGATGACATGAAGACTTTTATTATTTTCAATGTTTTGGATGTCAATACCAATGATGTGCTATCTTTCCTATATTCTTTATTTGATTGCTTTTGGACATTGGACTTTAATTCAGTGGGCACTTTGGATGCAGAAGTTATCCATTTAAAATTTTAATCAAGATTTTTTTTTTTTTTGACTAAGCCTTTTTTTATTTTCAGCATTACTCAAATAACCAAAGTTCATTTTCAGGGGTTGACTGGACTCTTGAATACATGTATATAGTCTTCAGAAGTACTAGAAATGAATGAAAATCACATTCGACTTGAGCTGTGATCACTATTAATGACTAGATAAGCTGAAAAATGCCCATTTCTGAGATGACGGTACGATGATCAAATGGATTGCGAACCAGTCCCTTTAAATTCCTTATAAATGCTTCAATTTGACATATGTTTCGTCACTGTAAACTTTTGCATTTTATAAGCAATAACTGAAATCATTGCTTGAGAAAATCAATATGGTTTTGGGAAAATTATTCTTTAGGATGATCCATACATTCATCTCTAAAATTATGTCAAATTTCTTAACTTGTTGTTTTTATCCTGTTTGGTCCCTGAATTATATTAGGACTGTTAAATTGATGTTTTTGTAAAAAAAGAAATCTTGCAATACAAATCAAGGCATTTAATCTGTTGAACACTGTTATGAAACCACAGAAACCTCATCAAATTCCTCAAAAACATTTATGATATTTATGTAAAGTGTGTGCATGAGGGAAATTATTATTTTAAAATTTGTCTTTATTCAGAAAATTATGGATCCAATTGGTCTCTTAGAGCATCTATCAGTCAAAGCATGTTCTGGGCCCCTGAAAAAGTTTTGGTAATTATGCTTATGATGTAAGGGGATATACAGGAAAATTTGGAGAAAGGAATGTGTTATAGTGTGTTAAAATTGTTCTTTTTTATTTATTTATTTATTTAGATATTGATATTGTTATTTGTAAATATTGTTATGGAAAATATAGTGTCCATTTCTTCTGAACATAACTGTTGAAAAGTGTTCTATTATATGAGCATTTTATATTTGACTATGCAAAACAATTTTCTTGCAAGGATTCTTTCTAAAATAATTCAGATTAACACTCTTTACTGTTTGTTTGTTTGTTTGTAAAAGGTAAAGCACTGTAGATAATTTCAGATTAGGACATTGCCTTTTATTTTCACAGATGCACATACACAATTTTAAGATAATTTTTTCTATATCAAAGCAAACTCAATATATTCTGAATACTGTTTTTTTTGCTCAATGAAATTTTAGCATTAATGTTTGTCAGTCAGTATTTTGGTTAAATCGCTGATTGGTGCTTTGGACACAAATTAGTATGCTACACCCTCCCCTCCTCCAAAAAATAGGATAAAAATCACTAGAAACAATAGTACAGTTACTAGAAAATACAGTTAAAAAATAGTATCATGAATGGCCCAGATTCAACATTATTATGAAGCCCAGTTGTAATTTAAAAACTTGGAAAAAGAACAGAAATGTATCTTTTCCTAATGAATAACAAGAAGTCTTCCATTATATTAAATTTTAAACGCCCAAAGATGTTACTTTCACACGAGAAGGCCATTGTATAATGAATATTATAGCTTGTGCTAGAAAAAAAAAATTTGTAAACTTACTTATGACAATGTAATTGGTTAGACCTATGTTAAGTTTGGTGTTTGTTTAATGAATTATAATATATATTTCCTTATTTATGTTACAAATTTGTGGTAGAAAATTGATTTAAGTCTTCAATATAACACCGAGGCATCATTAACACTAAAAAAAGAAACATCTCTCCCATTATGTATTCTATTAATTAAATGGTTGTTATTTGTACATAAAGACTGTGATATTTTGTGTATATGTATAGATATTAGATTATTCTATTAGTAACAGAATTAAACTATCTTTCCCAAATTTGTTCTTATGGTGGTTTTTTCCCAACTTTTTTTCAGTAGCCTCATGCAGTAAGGAGGAACAATGTTAAAACAATAGAGTTTTGTGTGGTAGAAGATTTAATCACCAGATTACCGTTTCACTAAGGTGCGTAAGTATTTACGTTGGCACTCTTGCCATGATTATAAATGGCAAAGTAATCGTGTCTGAATTTCGGACTAACACAGAAAGTAATCGTTGTCTTAATCTTTCTCGCTAAACCGGATGTAGATTCACAACATTCACTGTTCACAATATTTTTAATTCATTTTTAACTGTGGCTGACAAAATAAGAAATAACTTGAAGTTTTGTACGTTGTTTTGTTTCAATCATGAAGGCATTGTTGGCTTTTTTTTATAAGCGTTTTAACCTATTCAAATTTATTATAATAATTACATTCTATTCTATTTGCCTTTTGTAGTCCGAAATGGGTTATACACTTATACTAGTTATAGTCAACTATAGTCATAATAATCCTAAACCAAAACCTGAAATTTAACTGTCCGACTATTATTTGATTATTTGGGGCTAGATCTACAGTATTTTTTCTTGGATTGAAAAATAATCTCTGAATCTAAAAAATATACGGAACCTTATTCCGACCCCCTTGCAAAATTCGAACAATTTCTCAATTGAAGCTGAAATCAGTCTCTATCAGCTATTGCTCCCCCAAGGAAATGCGGGCTAGTTACAATGGGCTAGTTACGGACTTGAGACATTAGGGACAAGTTTGCAACCCGTTTTACAAGTCTAAACTGACGTTTTGATCGGAGCCAGGCTCTCTTTATCTTGGCCTTGTGTTAAAAATGAAATGAAATGAAATGAATGGAGTTTTACGTCCTACTCTTCTGCACCTTGTGGGCTAATGAAGACGGGCAACGTCATGCAGGGTGCCATGAGGGAAATTTTGCCAGGACAGCGGCATTAGCCTGCTCTTTTTCGATGTCAAGGGATCTTTAACGTGCACAGCCTGTAGCACACGGGGTCTCGGTTTATTGTCCCATCCGAACGACTAGATGCTTTTTCCATGTCAGCCCCTCTTACCTGCATCACAGCTACAGGCTGTGTACGTTAAAGATCCTTCAACAGTTGGAAATCGAAAAAGAGCAGGCTAATGCTGCTGTCTTGGCAAAATTTCCAAAATGGCACCCTGCATGGCACTGCCCGTCTTCAGTAGCCCATAAGGTGCAGAAGAATAGGACGTAAAACTCCATTCATTTCATTTCATTTTTCTTGGATATAGAAAAAGATTAACTAACTCTAACTGCAGAAGCACCTTCTTAACAAGATTTTTGAAGCATAATTTATTAGCTAAATAATAATTTTTTATTCTTTTAATTTCAGGATTACAAGATTTAATTGATGAAAGTTTTCATTTTTATATAAGTTTATCATGGAACATCATGTTGAGCAGAGGAGCCCAGCTTGGTTTGAACTTAAGAAAAAGGTTGCACTTACAGCATCACATTTTGGAGATGCTCTTGGTCTAGGGAAAGGAAGATCTTATGACTTTTTGGTATCCTTGGTTTCTGATGATGATGTTTTCAAAAAAGAAATAAATGACATTCATACTCAGTATGGAAATAACATGGAAGCTACAATTTGTGAAGTTTATGAACTACTAACAGGTGCAGAAACACGTCTGACTGGATTTTGGACCACAAAATCAGAACATTTCTCAAATAATCCTGTGTTGGGAGCATCCCCTGATGCCATTGTTTTAAATACTGATAGCTCTAACTATCAGTTATCTCAAGGATGTCAAAAAATGATAGGTCTGGCAGAATTTAAAGCCCCTGTGTATCAAATGTATTGTGGGACTGATTTACTGCAAGGTATACCACGGCATTATATGGCTCAAATCCAGGGACAAATGTTTGTTACTGGTGCTCCGTGGTGTGATTTTTTAGCTGTTTGTGTGAAAACTAAGGAAATACTGTTAAAAAGAGTTTATTTTAGTCAACTGTATTGGCAGAAAATATCATTAGTTTTAACACAATTCTGTGCAATCTTGAAGGTTAGTCAATTCTATTTCTAATATGATCATATGTGAATTTTTTCAGCTTGATATCAAGTGTAATAAAGGAATACCCATAATGTTGGTTTATTGTACTTGTTCAATTTTGCAGTTTGCAAAAGAACTTAATTAACTTATTACTATTGTTTGTTGTGAAGCATCTATTCATCTTCTTATTGCCACACAAACTATTAAAGGATAAAAATTTAATGTGGTACCATATGTGAGTAGCATGAGTAGTTAGAAATTTAAGATTAGTGAATTGGAAAAACTTTTCTTATGATCAAAATATGATTTTTGGAAAGCTGGAAATGTATAGGATCTGTTGTAAAAAGATCTAAAAATTCCTATAACAAATTGTCTCCCTTATACCACAATTTTTGTCACAAATTCTGATTTTGTAGTTTATAATTCACAAATTCGTAGAAGGGTTATTTCGATTTTTTGTGATTGGAAAGCTTGAAATGGGCAAGATTTTGGTAGAAATGTAAGATCACAGAAAGCAAACAAATTATCTTTAGTACTTATTGTGTACCTAAATGGAACTACAAACCAAATATGAAATTATTTGAATTTTTCTGAATGTTTATCATTATTTTTTATTTTTAAGGAAGCAAAACAAAGAAAGAAGCCACATGTTCCAATTAATGTTACTTTAGACTTTCAAACTGCTAGAAATCTTAAGTTTGTACCGCAAAGGAAATCTCTATTTACTGGTGAAGACCAAATTAAAATTGAGAATCTCCTTCAAATTGAACGAGATACAAAAAACATTATAGGACCATCGAAAATAAAATATACATTTGAGTTCTTGTTAGGAGAGGAATATGAAGTACCCGAAAACTTGAATGATTATGCACATAGTTTACTGCAAGAAATTGATTTACAAATGAAATCTGAATCTTACATCCCACAAGAGACATCCTGAGGAGGAGGAATACCAAAATTTTTATTTTTACCAATTTATGTTTATAGTTGCTTTTAGTAGTCATTAGTGCTCAAATGATTTCTGATTTTTACTATTTTGATACATTTCTTCTATGAACTATACTTAGTTTCTTTCGTAATTCATAGAAGCTTCAATTTGAATTTTTACATTTCCTGATAACCATAGCAAAACATAATATTGAGCTCAAATTAAACTTTCCTGGGAGAATATTGTACCTTATATGGTATCTTCATAGCCTTGAGATAGTCATAGCAAATACTTATCCAGCCAATCATTAGACCTCAGGTTTTGACTTATATACATCTCTTTCGTCTAGTAAAGAATGCATTGTTGACTTCGATATAGCTGACTTTATTATCTAGATGGTACAAATTAGAAACCATTTGACATTGGTATGTAGCCGACAAAAATAGTCAGTGTGTTAGAATTTAGTTGTGGGTTCTAATCTCGATTAGATTGTAATAGTCTGATGATCTTGAATAAGACATCTTTGCTCATTATACCCATTGATCCACTTTTCCACAAACAGCAAAATTATCACAATTCTAAGAATGCTGGGTACATTTAACATTTTGTCATTTTTTCTTTCATATCATTTATGTGTATCTTCTGTTTGGTCCAATCTGATTTCACCTCTGAAAAACAAAGGCTATACACATTTTTTTTACTAACTTTTTATACTCCCACCTGGTATTGGGGACAAAGATTGCCGTCACCCATTTCCCTCCACCTGTCTGTCCGTCCCTCAGTCCATAACTGCTCGTAAACACTCCAGAAGGCACAATTGTTTGTAATCACCCAAGGATGAACCCTATAGAAAATAAGAAAAATTGAAAGATATTTCGTATGAATTATTACCCTTGTTCTTGAAATGCTTGTAAACACTTTAGAAGTCGCAATTCTTGACGGATTTTGACGAAACGTGGTGTGAATTTTTATCACCCAAGGATGATGCTATCGAAAATCGAAAAATATTTAGAATGAGTTATTGTTCAAGTTTTAGTCTGCAAACACTCTAGAAGGCCCAATTCTTGACAGATTTGAGGAAACTATTATTCAGTATTGCTTCAAAAATTTCAAAAGAGGTGTATGACTGGAGGTAAATATTTCATACTGGTAATTGTTACTATACTACCAAATATTTTTATTTAAAATCAAAGCTGCCAGTGGGTATGTATTACCCTGCCTGGCAAGCTATCTTTATATTTTGATAGTTTGCCTTATTTCATTTTAGATTTGCATAGAATTTTACCTTATTTCATTTTAGATTTACCTTATTTCATTTTAGATTTGCATAAAATAATCATTATTTTTAAAACGTGTTTTATTTTATCTTGTAACTTGTCATACTAAATATAGAATCCAAGTAGCAAGCAGATTTTGACACTATAACAGTGAGCAACCATTGAGCTCAAGTGTAGTAACACAACAGTGGTTATATTTTTCAAAGTGTACAATGATATATTTTTAGGTATTTAATGTATTCCTATATGACTGAAAATGTTTACCTACTATTAAATGGTATGCATGGAACTTAAAGGGGAAGTATGCAAGATTTCTTAAATATGCTTGTTTACTTTTATGTATACATTTGATCAACCTGAAATTGTTTTAAAAGGAACAATTTAAATCGGAGCGTATGAGGCAGTTTTGATTTTGTTTTGTTGTTTGTTCTTATAATGGTTTGATATTTTTAGGTGAAACGTTTAGAATAATTAGAAGACATATTTCATTACTATTCTTTGAATTTATTTTGCTAAAATTTGTACATAAGGTTTCACACACCAACCAAAAAAATCCTAAATGGATGCTAGAAGCTACAGAGAACTGTGCGTGGGTCAATGGTAATTCTCTGTAGTCAGAATGTTAACAAAATAAATGATTATATATAATTTTATTAACTGTACCTCTCATAGAATATAACACCTTGATTATACAAGTCAAAAAAGCATCATATTCAAGTCATTATTATGTCTGGTTGCTTTGACCCAGATATTTTACATGAATTTTGATTTGCTTCCTTGTCACTTGTTTATTAGAATTACTTGTTTCTTAATTTTACTTGTTTCTTAAAATTACAACAGATACTTATGTGACAAAGGGTTATTTAAGTATCAATTTTATAAGAAAACAATGAATTAAAATTCTAGGATTTTCACAGGTGTGTTCAATCAATTCCAACATTTTTCATGAAGCCAGTTTCCAATTTTTTTTTAATATATAAACTAAATCTAAATACTAATATGTGTTAATATTTTATTGTCTGTCTTGTATAGCATGTTCTTGACAAAAGAATATACAACTGTTCACAGTCTGTCAAATGTTTAAATGAACTGGTAATGTTCACTTGTATTTTTTTTGTTCATATCTCCTCAGATGCTCACTGACTCTCCATTACATACCTGCTTCTCCTAACTTGCGTACCTACACTCATCCCCTTCTCCTGCCTTACATACCTTCTCCTGCCTTTACATACATCCTAATCATACCTTTATATATCTCCTACCTTACATACCTTCTAATCATACCATATCCTACCTTCTAATTCATACCTAAATCACCCCTTCTTATCATACCTTATATACCATCTCCTACCTTATATACCTTATTATCATACCTTATATACCTTCTCCTACCTTACATACCTTCTTACCATATCTTATATACCTTCTCCTACCTTACATTCCTTCTTATTATACCTTATATACCTTCTCCTACCTTACATACCTTCTTACCATACCTTATATACCTTCTCCTACCTTACATACCTTCTTATCATACCTTATATACCTTCTCCTACCTTACATACCTTCTTATCATACCTTATATACCTTCTCCTACCTTATATACCTTCTCCTACCTTACATACCTTCTTATCATACCTTATATACCATCTCCTACCTTATATACCTTCTCCTACCTTACATACCTTCTTATTATACCTTATATACCTTCTCCTACCTTCTTATTATACCTTATATGCCTTCTCCTACCTTACATACCTTCTTATCATACCTTATATACCTTCTCCTACCTTATATACCTTCTCCTACCTTACATACCTTCTTATCATACCTTATATACCATCTCCTACCTTATATACCTTCTCCTACCTTACATACCTTCTAATCATACCATTTATACCTTCCCCTACCTTAAATACCTAACCATACCTTCTACTTTACATACCTTCTCCTTCTACCTTACTTACCTTCTAATCATACCTTCTTATCATCCTATTTTACATACCTTCTTATTATACCTTCTTCTCAAACCTCACATACTTTCTTATCCTATTTTACTGACCCTTTTCTCCTACCTGGTCAAATTCGATCACAATGAGTTTCAGACAATTGTTCTCTACTGACTTTTTCTGACTAATTTCATTTCTGTTTGAATAAAAAATTTCCCAATTTGAATGGAATGTCTACAAATGAATTTGAATCACATTGACCACTTTTGAAACATATTTAAGCTACTTCCGACTGTAAAGATAATTAATTGTTTAGTATTATTATGCCGTAATTTGACATCTGGAAGCATTTCAATTGGTGATCAAAATGATCCTTACATTGAAAATTAGTAGCTCAGGTTACTGATATACTTATTTTTAATCTATTTAAATATCAGATTAGTAATAATATTACATCTATTTAAAAAGCAAGTTCTTTAGCAATTAATATAGGCTCGAATCAACTTTTTATCAATAATTACTTTATTATTTTATAGTTGATAGTATTTAAGGTAACAGGCCCATGAAAGTATTGGGTGTTATAGAATATACTATTGTATAGAAGTGGCCTAGATCACAAGATTTCATTTTACATGATATCTTTTATCACTAAAGGTAAAAATAAGTGAGTTTAATAGATGATATTCTCGTTAATATAATAGAAAGTACACGACGTGTTCCTCGCATCAAAGGTTTCATCAAGCATATAGATTGCACGTACGTATGACAAGACGTTATTTAATCTACTTCTCTAAATATATCCGCTTTTAATTGCGGCCTCGTAATTTGTAAAGGATAGGCTTGGATAGATAATATTCATTACATTTCAATGCAATTATTATACCTAAAAAGGCAAACAGTGCGTAGTTAATGTGAAAGTATTGTCTTATTGTGTCCTGTGCCAAGCATTTCTTTGAAGACAACCGTGTAAAATGGGCAACAGAACAGCAAAGGCTCCAGGTCCACAAAGTCTTTCCGATTTTGTGAAAAAAAAAGAATTTACCCAGGAAGAGCTAAAAGAATGGTCAGAGATATTTAAGCGTCATAGTGGCAATAAAGAATATTTGACGGAGGACGAATTCACAGAGGTATACGGAATGGCTTTTACTGGAGATCCCAGACCTTTTATCAAGCATATGTTCCGTAGTTTTGACAGTAACAGAGATGGTGTGGTTGATTACAAGGAATTTTTAACTGGAATCGGATGTAGTACTAGCGAAGATACAAAAACGAAGCTTAGCTGGGCGTTTCAAATGTACGATGTCGACGGGGACGGTCTCATTACAAAACATGAAATTATCAGCATAATTCGGGTAAGTTCGAGTCTTTTTAAGTATAAAGTATGGTCGAAGACCTGTACATGTAACGAGTGCAATAAATTTTTTGTTACAACAGCATATTATTAAGCCTACAACAATACTTATGTAGGCCTATGTACTAGGTAAAAATCGACCAAGGATTATGGCCTGTAAAATGGCGTCTTAAAGTTACGTGACATTAAGCTGTAACGGGTTGAAAAATTATTTTACAGTTTCAAAAGGGTGGTGATATTTTGAAACTTGTCACGAAATACTGACATTTATCACATATATCACCAATGACATGGAAATCTGATATCACTATACATATCCTATATAAACGTCGCGAGACTTACTCTTATAAAAGAATGTCGCTGCAGTTAAAGGGGAGTTTATATCCAAAGAACTCATTATAAAGAGCATTATTGTGCCACACCTGGGTTGTATTTCACCGCTTGGCTGCAGACATGAAATTTTCGAATAACATCGAATAGAATGTTTAATATTAAAAGAATATTTTAGAAAACTGATGAAAAAAAACTGTTTCTGAAAAGGGTTTGATTTTCTTATTTCAGGCGATGCAATGCATGATTAACCAACATCCAACTGATGAAGAAATCCAACAAACAGTCAATGACATATTTCGAAATCTGGATAGAAATAATGACTCTCAGATCAGTTGGGATGAATTTTATAAAGGTGTTCAGAAAGATCCTAAACTTTTAGAAGTGCTTGATTGCGAACCGCAGACTGTATAAAACAGATAGTGTAAAATAATATAACATGTATAAATTAACGTGAACAACTAGTACTAATGGGATACGGTCCTCTAGATGGCTCACCACTTTAAGGTTGTTAATGCATCACTCTAGCTTACCTTGAGATTTGTTGAGTTGAATTGAATACTTAAATAACTTTAACCCATTTTCTTCACGTTAGTTGATTAAATCTTTAGCATTAGGCCTACTAGGTTCAACAAGTAAAAAAGACTACGTGGCTTTTTGTACTAAATTGACGAATAGTTTGACAAGTGTTTGATAACTATATACCTTTCAGTGTTACAGAATTCTGAATCATTATTTCAATGAAAAAGTATTTATATGGTGCAGTTTATTGGTTGTCAAATACATTAAGTTGAGTGCAACAAAAATTTGCAGTTAAAAGTAGTTTTTTCCTCTTTTTCAAATGAAATATTTAAATATCTAAGTTAAAATATTTCGCCTATGTCTTGTTTTTAATGAGATATCTATATGCTCTGCCTAATCAACTAAATTGAATTTAATAGTTATCAACAACAGGATCAAACTAATAAAATATCCAAAAAATATCTGATCCAAAAAGAAATTGACCTCTTTCCTGTAACCGTATCTTTTAGTTGATGTATGTGACATTACCATCTTGTAAATAAAGTGTCTTGAAATTATTTGCCGAATTAGTTAAGTCACAAATCCTATGGTACGAGTGAATGCTAGCGCATTATTTCCAACCAGATAAGCATAGAATATCTGTTAGATGACTAGCTATTTTCTTTCATATTGATAGAAAGGTTAAATAAAATCGATATCAAATTAATTACCTACTGTCTCATTCTATTATCTTTATTTTCTTATCATAGCTTCTGGAAATATCGCTAAAATTTCGATCGAGTGGTATAGATTGAATAAGTCATTGAAGATCTATCATTGAAAGTTGAATTGGGTTAACTTGATCGTTAATTTAGCATTGCATTGCTTTGTGCGTCGTAATGAGCCAAAGGATGAGTTAAAAGAAGCTGTAAAGATCCATTTCATTTCAATGGTGTAAATGTACGACCATGTATCCCACCCCATACCATAGTCAAAGGGTGAGATGTAAAGTACAATGGGGGCACATATAAAGGAATTATTCACTTCACATAACATAACAATATTATTGCATGTCCGAGTTTTTGGAAGGTTGACCAATTGAAAAATTCATACAAAAAACCCAACTTCTAAATAAAAAATTAGATACATTTCAATATGAAAAAAAATTTAAGAAGTTTTATGAAAACTGATAACAAACCAATAACTTTAAAACAACAAGCATTAGTTGAACATCTCCATATTTTCACGTGAGTTCGTATTATATACCATATCAGCATCTCTAGCCGGTCCCCATTTATCATTTGGTTTAAATCCATCCATTATTCTCTTAAAAAAAACAAATTGAATTTGAATCAAAATCAACAATCAGCTTATAGAATAAGTTATTATTATTCTCGTTCCTCACAAGCCTAATCAGGTGCAGAACCGTGGGATGTAAAACTGAAATTCGTTTCATTTATCCTGTTGAATAATTATATATTTTTTCATATTATAAACTGGAATTTTTGTCAACTGCACAATATTCAATTCAAAATGAAATGTTATTCTGTATAGGACAACAATAATTAATTCATTTGCATTTCTAGGCAGAACACTCTATATCAGAGATAATATACAATGATACTGTACCTGTAGAATTGGCCCCCTTCTTTTCAAAACATCTACCAACATCCATGTTGGGATGCTAAGTATTGGTAGAGTTGCCACTAACCATCCAAATACTTCTGCCCCTGGTGGATACACGTAATCTCCATATGAAGGAGTTTTGAAATTATAAAACGTTAATGCCAAAACAACCTATAATCAAACAGAGGAAATAAGCATTTGTTATACTTGCCATCATAATTAATTTCCAGAAAAGTCTGTATAATACGCTCCTTTGAAGTATATATATTTATAACCAGTATAGTTGAAATAAAAATAATGTCGAAAATTAGAATACGAACTATTTTCTGACAAATTTACAATTGATGAACATCAAAACAAGGATTACTACCTTTCATTTTGAGAGCAAATCTGTATGAAGCTGGCACACCCTTTAAATTTGATCATATATCAAATTCTCTTGCTTTATCCATAAAAATGTAATTACAATTTTTCAGAACTTCATCCAAATTGTAAAAAGAGCCCAATTGAACTAGACCTTTCTTACCAGCATCAATCCAGGAGTTATATAACACCAGAGTATTTTCATAACAATTGACGGTTTTTTACCAAACATCATTTCTAAATCTTTATAATATCTGTCTGCTCCTTAAAACACAGAAATCAAGGAAAAGGGATCATTAAACATAAAGTTGTTTGTCTATATCCTAAATTAAAAATTTGTTCGAGTTTACAAAGGGATTTTTTTGTGTCAAATTATTATAATACATTGTTAACAATATAATGTATAAAGTTTCTTTCTACTATATACGTCAAAATAAAAACACGTTGTATCATTTATTTTCTTAAAATTAAATTTGATGCAGGCAAATTCACCAAAAATTGCAATGACCAATAAAAAGTATTAATAAATGACACAAGATAATGAAACAAAATGATATCTTATTCCTATTTTTGTGCAATAAAAACCCCTTTATTTTGAAACTGGAACATGCTCTTTAAACATAAAAAAGATAAACAATTGGAATATCAATAATAGTCACATTTACATCATCATCTGAACTTTTAAAGGGTCTTCCTCCATCCAACATTGTAATATAATTATCATATAAATAAATCAACAATTTTATCCTTTTTCGTATTAATTTGTTCACTAAAAATTTAAACTGGAATGGGACCACTTTCCGTTATTTATTGCCCGTATACCTATTGTAAACTAACCATATATCCACCCTACTATAATGCATTCTAAGAGAGTGTATATAAAAAGAGCAATAGCACCACAGTACCAATCAACGATTTGGAAGACATAGACACCAGCCTGAAACGATTAAACATATCATGAGCTAATTATCTCCCCTACCCCTCACACTAACATAAGGGAGTACTTGTAGTGTGCTGCGGGGTGGAGGTTACTTACCATCAAGCAAGCAAAAGTAAAAAATACAAACAAACTCATTCTGTCCATTCATCAATTCAACCTCCTATGCATTAATTCTGACATTTCATTCTTTAAAAAATATATTCTTCTTACAATTTTATTCTGATATAAAAGAAACTTTATCAAAAAATAAGAACTTGCTTAACAATCTTTATACATAATCAATTTTGGACTAATTTGACCTTCCTGTAATTTCAAACTTGACTAACTCACATGGAACTTAATAATGTGATGTCACATGATTTGGACACTTATTTTGGCTAGAAAATAGATACACTAAATAATCTTGAATAGTGGTTTCCATCTTTTACCTTTTAACCTTTACATGTCGTCTTCTCGCAACGTTTGGCCATTAGATTTACCGTAAAATAAGTCGCATGAGTAAAGAAAAAGACATCGAAAAAAAAAAACCCATCAACATTTGGCACATTAGACAGAAAAGTTTCAGGTACCCAATTGTTTATTAGTCAACATTGTCTGTATGACGCGCCAAGATATAGCTCTATTATCGTATAAAACCATAGAATTATAAGCGGTCAAGATAATAGACCAATAACCAGATAAGAAAACAGCTCTATGATAAGACGAATAGCTTTATTGAAAGACAGGACAATGGCTGTATTATATGTCTATGATAAATATGTCACAAGAAAAGAGCTCTATTATCTGTTTATGCGAGACCACTATAAGCAGACAAAAAGTTCTGTAATCAAAAATCAAAACTAAAAAAAATGTTCCAGACACCGTGTGAAGATATTTTATAATGTTAATGTCAAATTCATATCTTTTGGTATCATTTATTTTCTTAAAATTAAATTTGATGCAGACAAATGCATCAAAAATGGCAATGACCCATGAAAAGTACTAATAAATGACACAAGATAATGAAACAAAAATGAAGATGTGTATAAGAGACACATTTAGACTTACATTAGTTGTATATATTAATGTCACCAAGAACATAATGAGACAGGATATTCCAGTTAACAGGACAATCCTTTTACTGTTGATAAATGTACAAACATCCATTAATGTCGTTGTACAAACTTCTATGGCAATAAACTGACAAAATAAAATTTCTACATATCAATTTTAGTGTCACAATGACAATTTCGATTGTGTATGTAATACTTCAAGGGACAGGTTCGCCATCTGTTTGACCAATTATACTTTAGTCTCAGAAACTGGAATATTTTTATCTATTCTTATCAGTAATAGTGTCCACAACTAACCGTCAAAATTTAAGCCTTCAAATCCACGTGTGTCCCGAATTATCCGAGGTTGAATGTTAAATTGACTACTTACAATTCTTGAGACACTGTCAAATAAGGAAAAGACATATATAGAAATAGAAAGTGAAATTCTTTGGAATTATACAAAATTCGTACATTTCTAGTATTTCTGAAGACAATTTACATATATTCAAGAACCAAATCAACCCCCGAAAATGGTGAACATGTCCCTTTAAGCGAATCTAGTTTGAATGGTGTTTTCCACTTCTTTGGAACTAAAACAAACTTCACACCTCCAGTTAAATTTACAAGTGATGGGATTTACTATGATCCATATCTTGGGTCGTAGATCAACATTGGTCAATAAGACATGAACCGAAAAGAAGACAGTTTCTGTATAGAATTAAACTCATCTCTTTAGACAATGAAATATTGTGAGCCTTTGTGAAAAAGACTTTCATTATTTCAATGCCCAAGCTTGCATTTCACTCCACGAAGCATCAATTTTAACTATTGTAATAACCTGGTAATAATAATCTGGTAATAGAAACCTAAAATATTAAATATCATGATTACAATACTTACTATCGTATCCAGAGCAACAAACACCAACATGATAAAGAATAAGACAGCCCAGATCTGAGGAACGGGTAGCTGACTTAAGGCATCAGGATATGTTATAAATGCTAATCCAGGACCTGAAAAATATGTTCATATATAATACAAATGTCCTTCAATCATTTGATTCAATAGCTGAAATATTTTAGCTAGCCAAAGCATAATGAAGATTCGTGTTAATATATAACACATTTATCAGATCGTCAAATTCGCAGATAAGGACAACTCGTTCTTATCAATAGTAGTTTTTCTATAATCATGCATTTGCATTTACCTGTTCTAATTATATCTTCAACAGTCAAGCCTGTTGAGTAGGCCATATGACCTAATCCAGCAAACACTACAAAACCGGCATAAAAGCTCGTACCTTCACAAACAACGCAACAAATAATGGTATCTCTGAAATCATATCATCATTGTATTCAGTTAAATGACCTTTATTCCCCTAACTGAAACAAGTACATGGAATCATTAACATAGCCATCTCATGTGCATTGCGTACACGTTTGCATCCCCAAAATAGTGTCGTACATCTGAAACTCGCGATGCTTGATTCACAACATTTTACTTTAAACAAAGCTGTACAAGATGACATAACATGAAAATATGTTCTAATTCCAGTTCAGTGAAAATCAAACCTTTTTACCTTAATACATTGTTGTTGAATTTGTTGTAACTGGCCATAGCAATAAATCCACCCCATCCCATACCAAGAGAAAAAAATATCTGCATCAATGCTTGGACCCATACCTGGAATGTAATGTAATGTAATTTACATAAATCAAGGGCATAATTTTGAGTGTAATCCTGGATCAATTATGGATATCCGCCTTTATGCGTTTTATTTTTTGTTGTCTTGTTAAGAAAGTTTTAACGGAAAGGTTTGCAATATACGCCCCTTAGAGTTCAGTACAAATGAAATAGTTGAACATATTTCAACACATTGCATAAATAACATAGACATGTATTCAATTGCATAATTGTTGCCACAATGATAACCATTTGTATCAATATAAACATCATTATAACATTACTTATTATACAGTTATGCTTCATTAGATATTCTCTTTGGCACAAGCAAGACAATAGGTAATAAAAAGGTTACAATTCTCAAACTTCGATCATTTGGCTTAAATGGTGCATTACAGTTATGTTCCATTAAACATTCTCTTTAACACCAGTTAATAATTTAATAATATCTAGATGTAAAAAATAGTAACCATTCAGTAGGTTTTCCTTAACTCTGTACATTAAAACAACAGAGAAATTTCCAGGCAACGTTAATCCTTGAAAAAGCACTATTCCACAATTTAACTAATATACAAAAGCATACAAAGTTTCACCACAATGTCAAGCTCCAACCTCAATCATGTACAAACTAATTTTCGACATACTTCTGACTGTCATGAAAATCAAATTCAATGGATATCTGATCTAATATCTTGTGTCAAAGGCAATCATAAAAATAATATAGAATTGTAGTCTCTATCGCCACATAAGCCAATTCTGCTGTTTTATCTTTGAAAATCAGTGAAAATCGAACGAGATTTCATTTATATTCTATAGAATACCAAGTAATCTGATAAAACCTATTTTTCCCTGTTCACAAACCAATTATAAAGTACTGGGCTAACAACTCCAAACCGTTCATGAAAGAATTGTTTTAACTGAGATTTCAGTACATATTAGCTCATAACAATTTTAGTAGCGATCGTGTTCTGAGCTCACTAGTCAAATCCGAAAATCAAGTCGTCAAAGATAGATTTTAGAAAATTTAAAGGGTTTGCATTACGATTTTATAGTCAACAATTTCATAACATCTAACTAATCGTCGTAGAAATTGTCCACAATGGAACAAACATAGATTAATCATATAAAACTTTTAAGATAAAAAATCTTTATAATAAGATATATAATCCAAAATAGAACTAGTGTCTATAAAATGTAGAAATCGGTACGAAATATGAATCAAAGATTTCAATGGTATAGCATAGACCAAGTTGAAAATTCATTTTTTAAAACCAGAAAGTCGAAAATGCTGTCACCGACATAATCTCCACTCACATGTAAATTTTTAATCAAATGACACGATGCGCTTTCTTTAATTCAAGTTCAAATTCGCCACAGTGGGTTGATTCATTTAATTTTTCGTTTCATCATACTTAATAAGAACATTCTAACCAATTTATTGCAGACAGTGTCAAGAAAACGTGTATTCCAATTCGCGAACATCAAGACTCAAAATGACCTGTCGGAGTCTATAGGAGACACCATGACACCGGAAAATTACCTAATGTTAATACAAATGTTAAAAAAACTTGAAATAAACTATACTTCACCTGAATATCTAACAGTTTACTCCAATCTGGTATAATATAGAATTCTACACCATCTAAAGCTCCTGGCAATGTAATGGCTCGTATCAGTATAATTGTTATCAAAATATATGGTGCTGTGGCAGTTACATAGACAACCTAGTAACAAGTAGAAAATACAGGTACATGTGTGAACGGAGTGAACCACAGTAACAACTTACAAAATCAAGGTTATTATTTTTCTGGCAGCTTTATCAAACCAAAGAATTGTTATATATAGTCAGCAAACTTATTCAAACCTGGGTGTCAATCAAGGATAAGAAATGTTATTAACTATGAACTGAAAGTTCTAAGTCTTACTTTGAACGACTAATGTGTGTACATGTTTAGCTTTTCACGAATTAAATTAATAAGTTAACACTTGAATATGTTTGAATCACTGACATTACAATAGAACACGAATGAAACGAAATAAAATATGAAGCTATGATACGAATTCATAAAATATGTCATATATGTGAACATATTAAGATCTGTGTTGATTATTCCCTCATATTTCTATTAAAATTAAATTACGAAGATATAAAATTGTAGACATTGCATCTCCGTACCTTTCCTAAAGATTTAACGCCTTTCACCATACAGAGAAATGTAATGAACCAACCAACAGCAGAACCAAACACAACATGCCACTGAACACTCCCAAAGTCATTAATTCCGGATGAAATTCTAAGAACATTGTACCTGTAATAACAAAATATTGTTTAATGGATGGAACTTTCGTTGATATGGAATGCAGTAGATACAATAACTAACCATTTGTATATTGTTCCGTTCCGTCCTCAGGTTAAATATCTAAATACAAAAACATACGTACTGCCAGAATTCTTCAGAAGCTGTTAACGCGGTAGAATTCTTCGTGGTAGAATTCGACGATATTGCTGTTGTGTAGACAGAGCCGTTTGGACGAAGTGTATGTGCAATGTTTGTAAGTAAATCAGTTGCGTTCATCATTAATTCCGAGTTAATGGAAGTGTTACTCGGGTCCTCAATTGTTGTGTAAATGTAGCAGTCCTTCGTATTCCACCAATTATCACAATTAGACCACGGTAAAGGCGACATGAATGAGTAGACCAGGTAATACAAAATCCACGATAATATCAGATTAGCATACGAACAAAAGAGGGCATTTGTTAAAGTCATACCAACCCCGACACCTAAAAGAAAATTAAACTAAAAATACCCTCAGAAAGCGAAAACTGAAATCGATTAATCAACTCTTTTATCATAGAAACTTAAAAATGTAATACTAATTTTGTAGATACATCCATTCACGTGCAATGAATTTAAATATAACTTGCCACGCAAGGTAATATACGCTCACTGGGAGCTTCGATTTAAAAAAAAATTGGCAGTTCAGTACAGTAACAATTACCAGTGTGAAATTTTCAATCTTCAGGCTTACACTTCTTTGGAACTTTTTGAGATGATACTGTACTGTATGAGTTTCGTCAAAATCTGTCAAGAATTCGGCCTTCTAGAGAGTTTACAGGCTAAAACTAGAACGCATTTTTAAGAACAAAGGCAATATCTTAAACTAATTTTTTTCGATTCTTCTGATTTTCGATAGGGTTCATCCTTCACACCAAGTTACATCAAATCCGTCAAAAATTGCAACTTTTAGAGTGTTTACGAGCATTTCAAGACCAAGGGTAATAACTTAAAATAATATTTTTTAATAGGGTTCATCCTTGGGTGATTACAAACAATCACATTAAGTTTCATCAAAATCAGTCAAGAATTGTGCCTTCTAGAGTGTTTACGAGCAATATGTGGACGGACGGACATGGGTGACGACATTATACGCTCCACATTTCATGTGGACGTATAAAAAATCATATTTACCTCTTAATATAGGACAAATATCCCATACATTGTAAGTACTTTTACCAGAAAATTGTCCCAATGATACTTCAAGGTAGCATAATGGAAAGGCACACAGGATCATAAAGATGAGATACGGAATAAGAAATACAGCTGTAATAGAACACATAGATAGCTTGCAATACAAAGTAATATACGCCCATCGACAGATTTGACTTTATATATTTTATAGAATATTGACAATCACCAGTATGCCATATTCATCATTCGGCCATACACAATAGGGCTTAAGTGATAAATACAATTGTTTGAATCCAAATTTGTGCTTTAATTAGTGGTTACAAGTTAGCAATCAATCAAATGTAATTGAATTTAATTCTATCCATTTGAACTTGACCGAGAACTCATCAACATCTACATGTGGATTGAATAAAAACTACAGGCTCTATTATGTCAACAAGAAACTTTGACTATACTGATAGACGGACAGACAGATACAGACAGACAGATGGACAGGGGCGACAACAATTATATACCTCCACATTTCCACGTGGGTGTGTAAAAACAGGATTTAATTCATCATTTTGATTTTTCAATTGTAAATCTCGGATGTTTTTTGAAAATTGATACATCATTAAAACTGAACCTACCTCCTCCATTTTTAGCGCACAGATATGGAAATCTCCAAATGTTGCCTAAGCCTACTCCATAACCGATCAATGACAATATAAAGTCACATCCTTTTGACCATTTATCCCTTGCTACATTTTCCACTTCTGGCTCGGTTGTCTTCTGTAGAATTACATTTCCATTGACCATGAGTGGTTCAGCTTGTTTCTTTTCTATTTCGGTAGCCATTCTATCTAATTTTGCAACAATATACCGATATGCCACTACCTATATTAATCATTGATTGGGTCGTTATGGCTGTGTTACCTGAAAGTTTTGGAACTTCAGTATATAATATAAGTATCGTAATATTACAAAGGAATATAAATCATTCGCCTTGAAAATTTCTAATGAAAAGATTTCTAGATTTTGTTGTCAAGTTTTTCAATTATTATGGATTCCATTGAAAGGATCTTTTACCCCAGGGACCTTATTCTTGAGAATTTTAAGATTTTAAGTGTTTGTAAGGTCCTTAGACAATAAATCCATCCATCCAAAATAAAATTAAGCTACATTGCGTACATTCATCACTCACATGAAAAACAATAAACGACAATCAGAACTTTCAACATTCTTATTTATTTGCAGTCTGATTCTAAAAACTGTAAAGGGAACATTGCTTATATACTATGTACATAAGAGGGGCATTACTTGCAGTTGATAGTTTGGGTGTTTAGTTTTAAATGTATCCGTATTATTATTATCAGAATGAAAATACACCCATGCGCAGTCTTCCTAAATTAAAATATATCAAGATATTTTTGTCACAAGTCATCGAATTAGAAATTTATTGCTTCATGGAGGACGAGAACTAGTAGCGTGCAATCTTATCCTTATCTGATGTCAACGTATTAGACACACTTTGTGAATATTGTATCTTTTAAAAACCTAAACAAATTACCCAACCTCAATATTCCATTATGAAAAATCCTTTTAATTTGATGGCACTCAAAGACACAACCGACAATTAAAAAACGCGATTTCGTTTAAATTCGTTTCGTTAATAGCAAATTTGGTAAAAAGAAATTAACAGATAAAACCTTATTGACATTTTATAGACAAATGATTGTCAGTGGCAGGTGTTTCAGAACTAATATAAATGTGGATGTATGATGATATAATAAAACTTGCACTATGATTCAATTAACTCGGTACTATCATACTTTTTCTTTTAGATGTATATGAGAATTGGGTATAGCCGGTTGTATTTTCCCCCGATTTGATCCTCTCCATGGATTTACCGACTGGCTTTGAGACTTTGGTATTCTTTCGTTCGGCTTTCAAAAATATTCAATTCATGTACATAACAATACGATATTTTTGCCGATAAATTTAAAGTAAACAATAAAATTAAAGGAATTTTTTGTATTACTAGGTTACATGACGTTTGTTTGAGAAATAATATTGTCACTGGCGAAGAGACTATTACATCAGATGTACATAGTTTTCCCTGTGACAAACTCTCTTTTATCTTTAGAAGTGACAGAACAATTTTACAATAAGAACTATTGAGACATACAGGCCTTTAAATTGGTTTAAATAGTAAAAACTTGTCAAATGTCGATTTAAAAACCAATTCACACATTTACCATTCTCTGAGGTCAATCGTACCTCGGTATCCGAAACGGAATAGTTCAGTTTTGCTAATCGGTTTTAGTATTCATAGCTTACCGTCGGAAGTTGAGACTTCTTAGTCATTTGAATCCATAATTATCAGTGTTTAAAAGTTAAAAAGACGAGTCACTTTTCCTAGAATTTATATTTTGAAGATCGTTTAATAGCGTCACGTGTATACTAAAGACTCAATCACTCTGGCGACGAAAGTTTAGGAGATCACATCAACATCACGTTCAATTTTCAGAGAGAAAATAAGTTTGTTAACGAAACAATAAAAGGTGTGCAATTTTTTATTTGAGCTCTAATTGAAATTATGCCATTTTCGTAGTTCTAGTACTTCTGAAGAATACATATTTCAAGCCAACACTTTTAAAAAATGTCGATTGTATCCCTTTAAATTCAATAAATGTTTGTTTTTGACAGAGATAATAGTTCTTTCTTGGTAGTTTATAATAAGACAGAAACTTCCGTTTGAAAGGAGATGAAAATGTTGACTCGAGTCATTTAATCCATTTTAAAAATAGTGTATTCACGCGATGATGACTTAAGACTTCGATTCTAAGTCTAGGGTAGCTATTCTGATTCATTAATATTTTGAAATCTACAAAACGCTAACTGCATGAGGACCTCGGTAACTATACATGTAAATAATAAACCACTTCAAAATGCAGAATCTGAACAATTTACAATCATGATATATTATCCATCACAAGAGGTGCTCATTTGAAAATTTGGATAAAAATTCCAGAAATTTAACAAAAGCAATTTTCTTTATGCATGTGGCAAGTTTAAATAGCTTTATCAATAGGCCTACTTCGGAAGAAATGTGTTTAAATGAATATTGATATAGTCCAACTAACCACTATATATTTAAAAACAACAACAAAGTATTTATATGTAGAATGATTTCATCAAATCAATCAAAACGGTTTATAATTAAATTATTGTACAATTAATAAAACAGAAATGAAGCTTACCAGTACCAGTGTTATGCAGACCGCAGCCTTGGGTTAAATAAACTTTCCACTTGAAGTCCTGCTGTCTGAACTAAAGTAATAAATAGAGAAAGGCTCGTAATAAATTACCTACTTTACTCTAATAAGAAAGTTAAGTGAAGGCATATCTGCGTCGAAAACGTTTTTTTGTACAGTAACCACTAATGTATGAAGGCGGAGGTGATTGAACTTGAAGGCAATTTAAAATGTCTTTAGTTAATAATAAGTGTAAACAATTATCATTCACAATCAATAACCGGTGCTTACACAATTTGTAATATATGGAATGTTAAACTTTGATTGTTATACACTACATTATAAAATTGTGCATTGTCAACTGTCTCTGGACCACCCTGCGTTCCATTTAAAAGAATACTACCTCTTCGAATGGAAATACAATTTAAAGTCTCAAACTATGATCAACAAGTGTATAATATTCATCAGTTGGGACTTATCATGTGTCATGCCTAAAGAATAGAATATAGAATATAAGACGATATATCCATTAAACTAAGTGATTATTGAAATATTGAGCATGTTTCAAAATTACTTAGTTTAATGAATTATTACTTAGTTTTATGGATCTATTGGATTATACATGGATTCTGTTGTAAAATGTAAGTCCACTAATGAACAAAGACTCATTTTGGCTAAGTTAGAAATTTTTAATTTTGTTGGTCATCCTAAGAGGTAGTGTACCTTTAATAATGACCTTGTCATTTTCTCTCTGTAGTTTATATTTTATATTACTACAATTACATTTAGAGCTCATAGTTAAAACCTGAGTAAGAGTTGATTAAACATGACTATCTAAGATTATTCGGGTGGGTATATTTGAATAAAACGTAAAATATTGAATTTTCAAACTCAATAAAAGTGTCAGACCGGTTATGTCCCATTAGTTAGACACCAGAGACCCTACCCTTGACTACACAGAGCTCAGAAACGATTTTTCTCATTTCACTAATCTTAAAATTAAAATTTTTGAATTGCATGTTAAATAAATACACTTCCCTTTCAAACATTTCCTGTGTTATAGATCCACAAATCGTACTTAAATTTCCCTCTGTAAATTTTACTTTTCAAAATATTTTTATCATCATAAACCAAAAGTCAATCGAAGACTAATGGTACTATTTTTATTTTTTATATTATACTTCATACAGATATAATTGGCGAAATGGGAATCTATAAATATTGTAGTCAGATAGTAAGGGTACTATTAAGTGGGATAACAGTCACGGTACAAATATCCCATTCCACAGAGAGAAATGAAAGTTGAAAGGTGTGAAACAAACTTTCTATAGAATGCAGATGTCAATAAAACGTTGTTGGTTGGTTCAGAATATTTATAACAAAATATGTAAAGAAATAAGTATGCTTCTAACTAACCTGAACCATGGCTTAATTCTAATGCACAAAAACCAGCTATTTGAAAACAATTCCGAGGATTTAATAACAAACAATTTAAATGACCACAAACTTGAATCTGTACGGACGCCAGAGTAGAAATAAATCTTATTTTGGCGGGAAGTACAATGTTGTTACAAGTGGTATAATTTGTAATAACTTGTACTTTATATAACTTATATAATGTGAGAAACAGACCATTAGATATAAAAGTTATATTTGTTGTCAGACATGTTGACTATTAGAATCCAAATAGAAGCCAAATAGATTCAAAATAGATGTCATTCGTTGAAATTTGGATAAAAATGGCTACCGATTGTAACAGAAGTCCTCTCACCAGAAACTAACACTGCTGTAAAAACTCATGCGATGAAAAGATTTACAAATCACCATGACTCATAACGTCATGTGACTAAAAATAGACTTCATTTATCATCCATTATCAGGGCCTCAATGTTATTCAATATAATTTTAACCCGCGTGATGGGGCCCAGACCGTGACCTCCATTATAAACCAATAGGAAATTATACAGATTCCCAAGGTCGTTGGACTTAGTAATTTTTCTCGCAGCACCCTGCCCAATCAGGTACGGCGGTGTCCGTGGGGCTGGTGGATGAGGCTGCAATCACGAGAGAGGCTTCGAAGTGGTAGGTCGAGTTGCTGAGCCAAATTGGAGAGGAAGGCGACAAGAGTTTGGAGAGAAAAAGAAAAACAACGTGGTGAACGGGGGAAAAAACATATGTTCCGATACCGGGAGTCGAACCCGGGCCGCCTGGGTGAAAGCCAGGAATCCTAACCGCTAGACCATATCGGAGCGCTGAGTACCAGTCCATTTTTCACAGCCAGAAACCTACTTTCCATTGAGTGGTGCGAATTTTGAGTTCGCACCGTACGCGAGCATGGAAAAAGAGAGAAAAAGATATCTGTGCATCGACCGGGAATCGAACCCGGGTCACCCGCGTGGCAGGCGAGTATTCTACCACTAGACCACCGATGCGGACATCTTCGTAGGCTCTGGAACTCAAGAGAATCACGCATTGATGTAGAAATCGTGCAAATTGGGGAATGCAAGAAATAGAGGTACTCTGTTTCTTGGCGAATGTGAGAAGCCGATAAAAAATTTCCAG